CATGTTATGCCAGGCCTTGTCTTCATCTGCTCTGACCTCAGGTGAGTCCACGTCGTCTCGCCTCCCAAAGGTGCTGGGATTACAGGCGTGAGCCAATTGTCACACCGCACTCACGCTCCATTCTTATCTGAAACAATGTTTTCTAACCTAACAGTCTACCCCTAAAACTCACAACTCCTACCCCTATAAAGACACTATATTTATTTTTTATTGCCATGAATTTTCTCTTATGATATCGTACCTAAATTCCCTCTTTTTAAAGTATTTACTCCTGTCTCTCAGGCTAGGTAAAGACTCTGCCATTTTGGCCAGCCTGGATAATTTATAAAGGAAGAGCTTTATGGACTCACCAGTTCAGCAATGACTAGAGGTGGTCCTTCCAGGAAACTACACATCCATGGCAACAGGAAAGCAAACATGTCCTCCTCCTGTGGCGCCCTGTTAGGCATTTGTAAACAGAACATACTCTCACAGTACGGTGGGAAGCAGACCTTGACCAGGGACAACGACTTCGGCTGGAAGTTCCTGGTCCTGTCTCTGGGGACTAAGGGAAAGACTAGGCTTCCAGTTTATGCTGAGCAACTCTTCATAACTCTGAATTATTCGAGTGACCTTTCAAGAACTGAAATTAAACCCCAGTTACAAAAATTAAACACTCCCTTTTCCATCTAAAAAAAGTAATGTGCATTCTGGAGATACTTGTTGCCTGGCAACAAAATGCATACTTCCTTCTCCTTCAGGGAACTGCCAAAAAAGATATAAATGCTAGGAAGAAAACTGGCCATAAAAGAGAGTCAATAAAATAAATCTGGTGATTCTTAGAGTAGGAGGAAAGCAGATTTACAAAATTTGCATGTTTGTGTGTATGTGTGTGTGTGTGTTTCTGTGTGTCTATGTACTCATGGACTGGGTAGATGGAGAGCATGAGATAGAAACAAAACAGTCTACAGGATGAATTTATTTATTCATTCTATTGTGGAATGAATGGAAACAGGCAGGTGTAACAGGAGGGTTCCTGCTTTAGAGAAGTGTAGTGTTAACAATCTGTATTAGTCTGTTCTCATGCTGCTAATAAAGACACGCCCACGCCTGGGTAATTTATAAAGGAAAGAGGTTTAATGGACTCACAGTTCAGCATGACTAGAGTGGCCTCAGGAAACTTACAATCATGGCAGAAGGGGAAGCAACGATGTCCTTCTTCACATGGTGATAGCGAAGGAAAGTGTCGAGCAAAAGGGGGAAAAGCCCCTTATAAAGTCATCAGATCTCATGAGAACTCACTCACTATCACGAGAACAGCATTAGGGTAACCCACCCATGATTAAATTACATCCCACTGGGTCTCCTCCCACAACATGTGGGGATTATGCAAACTAAAGTTTAAGATGAGATTTGGGTGGGGACACAGCCAAACCATATCACCATTCCCCCAAACCACTAACTATGCAATCATTTGAGAGAATAACGAAAAAAAAAAAAAAGAGTAACAATGATGGAAAAATATGACCCTTTTTATTTGTATTGTTTAAGAAACTAAAGCATGGAGAGGTTTACTTACTTGCAAAAAGTCAGATAACTAGTAAGTGGCATAGCTGGTTACTCTACTCTCTCTCTTACTTAAAGAGTATTTTTAATGTCTCAACAGTCACATGCACGCCCCTCCAGGCTTCTACACCTCCTTTTTCCCCTGGAGAAAACTAGTTTCCCTTAATTGTATCTCATATACACTTTTTTATTGTGGTAAATTATACATAACATACAATTTACCATTTTAACCATTTTTAGTCTATGGTTCAGTGGCACTAAGAACATTCACATTGTTAAGCAACCATCATCGCTTTCCGTCTCCAGAACTTTTTCATCTTCCCAAAATGAAACTCGTACCCATTGAAAAACAACTCCTCCCATTCCTCCCAGCCCCCAGCCCCTGGCAGCTAGTATTCTATTGTCTGCCTGTATAAACTTGACTACTCTAGGAACCTTATAGAAGTGGAATCGTACAATATTTGTCCCTTTGTGCCTGGTATATTTCACTTAGTGTAATGTCTTCATTATGCACCAGATCTTGAAGGCTGCCAGGAGTCACTGCTTGCTTTCCATGTCAGAGTTTCAAAATTTATCCGTGTCAGAATTTCCTTTCATTTTATCTATGTACCACGTTTTGTTTATCCATTCGCTCATCTATAGACACTTTGGTTGTTTTCACCTCTTGGATATTGTGAATAGTGCTGTTATAAACATAGGTGTAGTAGTATCACTTCAAAAATCCTGCATTCAGGTCTTTTTTATTTATACACAGAAGTGGAATTGCTGAATCCTGTGGTAATTATATAAAAATATGTTTTAGGAACTGCAATACTATTTTCCACAGTGATTTCACCATTCTCTCTACACACCAACACTGCACAGGGTTCCACTTTCTCTGTGTCTTTATGAATATTTGTTATTTTCTGTTTTTGATAGTTAGCCATCCTAATGGGTGTGAGGTTTTATCTTTTTGTGGTTTTGATTTGCATTTCCCTGATGATTAGTGATGCTTAGCATCTTTTTGTGTGATTGTTGACAATTTGTATATCATCTGCAGAAATAACTGTTCAAATCCATTGCTTATTTTTGAATCAGATTGTTTTATATTGTTGTTGTTGTTAGGAGTTCTCTAAATGATAGGGACAGGAGGGAGAGAAATTCTGGGAGGGCAGGTCCCTGGTGAGGGCCCCACCCTCGAACCTGAAGCTGCAGCACAAAGTGAGAACTTACATCCCTGGTTTCCTGCTCAAATGTTACCTTTTCTGAAACCACCCATGTCCTGCCCTGCCCCCCATCCTGTGCCCATAAAAACCCCAGGCTCAGCCAGCAGAGAGGAAAGAAGCATAATAGTCTCTAATGAGTCTTTGTATTTTTGTGGTCTTGATTGTTACATCTCCTTATTTGTTTCTGATTTTACTTATCTGAGTCCTCTCTTTTTTCTTAGTCTAGCTCAAGGTTTGTCCATTTTGTTTATTTTTTTTTTAAAGCCAACTTTTCAGTTTTCTTGATTTTTAAATTTTGTTGTCTCAATTTCAGTTATTTCTGCTCTGATCTTTATTATTTCTTTCTTTCTGCTAATTTTGGGTTTGGTTTTAGCTTACATTTCTAGCTACTTTGGGTGCCTTGTTAAGTTGTTTATTTGAAGTCTTTCTACTTTTCGATGTAGGAGTTTATTGGTGTAAACTCCTCTCTTAGCACTGTTTTTGCTATCATAGATTTTGGTATATAGTGTTTCCACTTGTATTTGTATAAAGAAATTTTCAATTTTCTTCTTAATTTCTTCATTGATTTATTCATCATTCAGGAGATGTTTAATTTCCATGTGTTTGTGTAGTTTCCAAGATTCTTCTTTTTATTGATTTCTAATTGTATTCGACTTTCAAAAATTTGTTGAGACTTGTTTTGTGGCCCAAAATGTGGTCTATTCTGAGGAATGTTCCATGTGCTGATGAGAGGAGTGTGTATTCTGCAGCAGTCAGCTAAAATGATCTACAAATGTCAGTTTGGCCCATTTGGTCTAATTTTGGTTTCACTTTGATGTTTCTTTGTTATTTTTCTGTCTGGGTGAACTCTTCATTATTGAGTAGGAGGTGTTGAAGTCCCCTACTATTATTGAATTACAGTCCATCTCTCCCTTTAGAGCTATTAATGCTTGCTTTATGTGCTTTGGTATTCCAGCACTGAGTGCACAGGTTTAGAATAGTTATATCCTCTTGCTGAACGGACCTCTTTAACATTATATAGTGCCCTTCCTCG